GGCCGGCAACGCATCTGCAATTCCCCTGGTGTTGCGGTTATTCATGGGCGGCGGTAGTCACTTACCATCTTTAATTACATTGTGCTGTAGCTTTGTCCGGTAGCCGTCACGAGCTATCAAGTGTTGAAGTTTCAAGTAGGTAAGAGTTTTTTTTATTATATATGTTAAATCGTATTTATTTGTATCGTATTAATAGATCAAGGTCAAAGCGTTCGCTGTAAATTTTCCCGGGTTTGATCCCCGACAGCACGAATGAAATTTGTAATTGCAATTTTCATCAACACGCATTGGGGAAGCACGGCGGGCATTTCCTTGCCCTAGAACCCTCTCAGAAATAAAAAAAGAGTCCTTTGCCCAGTAGAGGGACTTGTATAGCGTATTACTTTACTTTGTAGCAATATTTATATTCGTTTCAGATATAGAAGGGTACCTTATGCTGCAAAATTATCATGTGGAGGCGACGAAAACGTAAAACATCTTTGTACCTAGATAAAACGTTCGAAAGATTGTCAGTCATGTCATACGCCACATTTTCTATAGAGCGTAAAACATTGCAGATAGGGCAAAATAAAAAATAATCCAAAATATTATGGGAACTATTTATTAATAATATATACATTTATAGGTATTTATAATAAAAATAATGAACAAGCTGCAAGGTTCAACTAATAATGTTTTTTGTAAACAAAATCGTAAAATTCCTGTTTTAATTTTTACCAATGGTTAATTGATGAAACGTAGTCAAGATCACTTAATATAAAATATATTTAATTAAAATTGACACGTGACCTATTTAGCCTTCTACTTACAACTCGGCGGAAATTTGAAAAGAAGATTTTGTCTTTTCACACAAGTATTGTTTACAACTGGCGTGGTTTCGAAAAGCGTGATTAAGTGTCAGCGGTATATAATCAATTAAATACTGAACTTTATTGAAATTTATTTTCTGGTTTATTTTTGTTATATCTTCTTAAAAACTGACGCCAAATCACTATTTTATTATTTGTTTTTTTTTTGTAACGATTAAGGATAAGTTAGACTAAGTTAGATTAACTTGGATAAGTTTGTAATTGTTTTAAATTTATCACAAAATTTCCGCAATAAATTATTACCTTTTCTACAGTGATTCTCTCCTCTTAGTTTCGGCGTGACTGTAGGATGTTATAGTGAGTCACCGTCAGTTACTAAGCGGCCATAAATCATTATATGTGTGTATAGACATACATATATACATTTTTTGATTTTAATATTTATGTTTTTTTTTTAATTTTGATAGACTTTTTCAAACCTGGTAAAATTATTTTTTACTATACCAATTGATGGGCCTGAGTATAATGCCAGTTATGCTCTTTGGCTGAAGTTATTTTTTATTTTATGTTCAATTGCAGACAAAACAATATTGATTGCGCATCTCTAAAACAAAATTTTACCTCTTCTCCTTCTAATAATACCTCCTGCACCTAATACGGCGGAATAGTTATTATTATCTATAAGACCATTTGCAGAAACAGTTTTTGTTAACAGTTATGAGTGTAACATTTTATCAGCTGCTTTGTTTATAGTGCCTTGAGCCAACACTTTGCCGGTTTCTGTACAGAAAATTATGCTGGCTTTGCAAATATGGATGGCCGCTACCATTGAATATAATACCCGCTATGTTACACTTATTTACGTATAAACTTTAATTATCATTCGCATAAAATTCTAAATAGCACTTTTTACACAAGAAAGTAAACTTTGAGATCAGTCCATCTTGTTGTTCACTAATTAAGTGAAAAGTAAACCAATAGGTCAGTGATTTAAAATTTCTTGCAACTTTTTATGGAAAAGCATGACCTTATCATAATATAACAGTCAATGATTTAGCCATGTGATAAAACTTTTAAGTGTGCCAGTCAAACATTAATGATGATATTCGAGTCATTATACTGGAAAGTCTTTTAAATATTTTGTAGTACAATTGATAATCTTCAGTATGATTGCACGGTCAATCAAATATGACTTTTATAAGTCTATGTTATTTTAGATGAAAATTATTATTGCAGATAAAATCCCTTTCACATTTCTTTTAGTCTCGAATTAAATTAATCAAAATGAAAATAAGAACTTTGGCTCTTTATAACTGATCTTTAAATGTAAAAACTGACTTGAAATTATATAGTTATCGGCATTTTTTTAATTCATTGAACTTTTTTAAGATTGTGTTGAAACTCTACTGAAAAAAAAAAAACAAATATTACAGTTCTTGATGAAAATAAAGTATGCGCGTTACATCGCATCCCATCAAGAATTTCTAATGTAATTCTTGGTGTAAAGCTAAGACGTGATAATAACTGTAAACAATAGAATAACAAAATAATGAAAACATTTACATTTATATACAAAACATTAATAAAAATACTTGCTTTATAACCTAATAAATATTATTTGACCGTAATAAAATAAAACAAGGTAGTCTTCGGCATGAAAGTAAAAATAAATATTTTCGATTATTTTTGCAATATCTAACAGCTGGATCAGCGCGCGATTCTGATCCATCTAAAGATGCTAAATTTCAGCAAGCATTGTCAAATTCAATAGGAGTGACAGAAAAACGGTTCTTGATATAGAAAGGTAAATAAATTATTTAACCTATAAAGTAAAATCACTTTATTACAAATCAAAATAGCCCAATAGCTTTATTAACATGAGACATAATTGTATGAGTGCTTACAATACTTACCATTATTTTACTGAAATCTCAGAAAGTTTTTTTTAATAGAATAAGGGTGACAAACGAGCACACAGTCCACCTGATGGTAAGTGGTCGCTACGGCCCATACACAACTACATCTATTCTCGATTATGTATCAAAATGTAGATACGTTGTCACCCGTGAGGACTAAGATGTAATGCCTCGTTTCCAGTAAAAAGGTTCTCCGGTTCTCTACACTCACCATGCGAAACACAGCAGGGTTAAGCTGCTATTTTACATTTTATTCCGTGAGAGCGTGGCCCTTCCCCGGTCGAGCCGACCCATTCGTGCTACAATTATACCTACTACTAATATAGCTGCAGCATGGCTCTACCACGTAAAAAAGCAACTTTGCAATTATTTTCTATTGAGTTAATTTTTGTGGAATCGTGTTTTGCAAACCGCCACCTGAAATACGTACAATTTTTTTTCGATAATGACGTGAAATTACAAAACAATCCCCATGCATTTCAATGTGGCTCTATTCAGCCTCTTAATATGAACATACCTCGGGATTCAGAGTTTTTAAAAGTTTTCATGCGTAGATAATGGAAGATATAATATTATATTATTACTGTCCCGTGTGAGGCAACCTATATTTTTATGGTTGGTTAGAAAAATTATATCTAAATGCAAACTTTCACAGGGTAAATTATTTTTTACTATTTTTACCCAGCAAGTAGTAAAGCAACTACAATCCCATCGGTAAGTGGTTATATAGTCTAAGATGGTGAATTGCACTGACTTAACAAAAACCTATTCGCTCTTGCCTAATAGTACTAGGTAAGTATTATTTGCGACCTATTTGTGTGTGTGGGTGTGGGTGTGTGTGTGTGTGTGTGTGTGTGTGTGTGTGTGTGTGTGTGTGTGTGTGTGTGTGTATGTGTAAAGAAAAGCGTATGAGAATTCGTGAAGAGGAATAAAGGTTGAGTACTAATTCGCCTACCTGTACGAGGTTGCCACTCGAGGACCTTTCTTCCTATTTTTATCTGTTTTCCAAGTTATATAGCTAGCCCATTGCCATTTCACTGTAATATCCCGTTGGGCTATGTCAGTTACTCTGGTTCTACTACGAATATCTTCATTTCTAACTTTATCACGTAGAGAAACCCCTCTCCAATTTAAAATTTTTACATTTTTTAGATGATAGTTTGTCTAACATTAAAAAAACCATAAACCCAAGAATGTCTTCATATAGTTATTTATACTTAGGTATACACCATTCTTTTATTTATTTAAATTGTTTGATTTAATTTGATAACAGTGTACCTAAATGTAAGTATCTGTATCTTTATTTCCCTTCCCAAATAATATTTTATAAAGTCATAGTCATAAAATCAGCGTTTTATAGTATTACATAATTATAAAATTCAGTATCAACTAATTAATAAAAATATGCAAGAATAAAATTACATAGGTATTAAAAACTATCGAAATCTAAGTAACGAGATCATGTTCGTCGTTCCACATCTAAATTATATAAAAATGCATTTTTCAATTTCACTAATCAAAGTCGCCGCGAAAATTTCTTCTTCTTTGGGCACTTTAAAAATACATTTATTTAGAAAATAATATTTACAGTTACCAGTGTACAGATATTAACTAAATTAAGTATTTCTAGTCATAAAAATATTTATTAAAAAATATTTATTTAGATAATGAATCTGAAAGAAGCGAAAGAGCTATGTAAGGATCGTGACACTTGGCACTTATACTTATCTTCACGCACAATCCCGTCAGGGATAGAGATAAGTAAAAATATTTATAATTGAGTATAAACTTTTAAAAAACTAATATATATTTGAACGAAGTCGCTCCAACACCGACGTGCGGTCCACCCTCGACGATGTCCGAAAACGGACTGTGACAGAGCTTACATGGCGACGGAGCATGCGCGCTCGCGTAAATATATTCAATTTCAGGGAAAAATGATATATTCTCTTATAAAACGGGGAATAAAAATAAAACTCTCAATTAAAAATATTAATATTTTTAAGACCTTTTTTTTTAGTGTAAGAACTATTTAAAAAGATTGTGCCGTTTTGAAGAAATTTTGCAAAATATGACAAAGATAGATACTCTTTGGGGATTTTTTTTTCTAATAAGTGGTTGAATAAATACAATTTTGTTAAATTAAAAACATTTACCAAATCTTCTTCTGTTACCCTGTATTTTTTTTTATGCGCTTCAGGCTTCAGTCATCCAGCAAATTCTGAGGGGATAAGACGTCGTCACTCATCGTTGGCGCGTCGTACGTCACTGCGCAATGATGTCGTCTCGCAAACGAAATGCAATTTTAGAAGAATTTATAGAAATATATAAATCGGAGCCCTGTATATGGCGATTGAAGGATAAAGAGTATCATGACCGAAATAAAAGAGCGGCAGCATACGAAAAACTTATAATTAAATTAATAGAACTAGAGCCAAATGCGACAAAGGAAGATGTTGTAAAAAAAATTAATGCGCTACGAAGTAAAGTACGTAGAGAAAAAAGAAAGGTTGAAGAATCCACTAAGTTGGGAGCGTCAGGTGACGAAATTTATAAACCGTCGTTGTGGTACTATGACATGTTTGAATTTCTCGGAGATCAGGACATTCCTCGTACTTCACAGTCCAATATAGATGAAGCTGATCAAATTGAGGTAAGAAATACAAGTTTTTTATACAAATGTGGCGGCGGTCGTATACGTGTACATGTGTGTGTGCGTTCGTGTGGTAATTAAAAATATGTGGTTATTTTTCCGCCGAAACAGGTAATGTTTTTCGAGAGTATGTCGTACCTACTTGTATGTATGTCTATTTCTTTGGCACGTTCTGCTAGGCTATTCGCGTCGTGTTTTCAGACACTGAGCGAAGTGAACACAAAATGAAATACATAATAAAAATAGCACTGAAAAATTAACTTTACTTCTATTTATATAGAGTGTAAAATTGAATATAGGACTTACAAGACATTTCCTATGTTAAAGTATGTTAAATTTTAGACTGTGTTATATAATAAAAATAAGGTTAATTTTTTTGTGTTATTTTTATTATTTCATTTCGTTTTCACTTCGCTCAGTGTGCGAAAACACAACGCGAATAGCCTAGCTGTAATCTAAATGGCTCAACAGATTTTGATGTTATTTTCTCACGTTTTCGAACTTGTATGAAAATTATTAATTTGGTTTTATTCTGTTTTATTTGATGGTTCATCCAGGAGACAGATATAAATACTTATGTGCTGTAAGGGTATAACAATAGTCGAACGGGTAGTATTATAGCCTTCCGTGATAATGGTACCATTTGCAGCATTTTCTTCATAAAAACATTCCCGGGGCGCATAAGAACTTCCTACGTGTTTCATTAAATAATTATGCAGTACGCATGTTGCCATCACTATTTTTTCTATATTCTTTGGCTCTAGATTTATTACAGTATGGTATATTCGAAACCTAGATGCTAAAATACCAAAAGCATTCTCAACAATATGTCTAGCGCGAGACAATCTATAATTAAATATCTTTCTTTCGCGTGAATGCAAGTCAGCTTGTCGAAATGGTTTTATCATATCAACTCTTAAAGGGAATGCGTCATCAGCAACAAATACGTATGGGAGACTTGTTGAGCTGTTTTTGACAACTTCAGCGTCTGGAAGTTCCATTTTGTTATTTTGGAGAATTTCAAAAAACTTGGTATTCTGTAAAACACCTCCATCAGAAATTTTGCCATTTGTCCCAAAATCAACCAGCAGAAATTCGTAATTAGCATCTACTATTGCCATGAGCACCATACTGTGTCGTTTTTTGTAATTATAGTAATACGATCCGCTGTCAGCAGGTGGAACTATGTCAATGTGCTTACCATCGATCGCACCTAAGCAATGAGGAAAATTCCACCTTTCTTCAAATTGTTGCGCTATATTTCTCCATTTTTCAGATGACTTAGGAAACTGTAACAAAAATTATTGTTTTAGGAAATTGCTGATACCAGGGATAGTAATGAAACTTCGGATACAGTAACTCCAGAAAATATAAATATAGCACAAAACTCATCATCCCAAGAACAGCAGCAAGAGTCAGCGGCGAAACGACCAATATCATCAAGACCCGGTAAAAAAAACAACGAGCCAGAAAAACTAACGAACGAAGTATTAACTTCTATTAGGGATCACTTTAAACGACCTGCAGCTTCACCACCACCGCAAGAAGACCGGTATGATTTACTAGGTAAATCAATAGCATTGAAATTAAGGGCAATGGAAAAACGCCAGCGGCTTATAGTTGAAAAACTTATAAATGATACTTTGTTTGAAGGAGAAATGGGAAATCTTACCACAGAAAGCTATCAGAACAGAAATATTCCACACTATCATAGAGGTCTATACATAAATTCTCCTAGTCCGACATCCATCTCAAGTACTAGCCCATATCATACACAAAGTCCAAGTCCATCATTGATGCAACAATTTCAATATACTCTATTTAATGCGAACTCTCCTCAGAACCCTTCGCTCATACAGCTTCCTTCTACAGGTGATGCAATAAATAATCCTCCTGCTGTGGTACAATTATCAATTCCAGAAAAGACTGACTCGTCTCAGGACCTGTTCCATTCTACACCATCAGCAATGAATAATTCTACCAATGTACAATTTACACTTGAAGAAGATTCTGTTACAGCATCAACTTACTACTCAAATTTTGAATATAATTAGTAGTGTAGTTTTATACTATATATGTATATATATATATATATATATATATATATATATATATATATATATAAAAATATGTATATATATATGTATATATATGTATATATATATATATATATATATATATATATATATATATACATATATTAATATGTATACTACATATATATATATTAATATGTATACTCTGACTGACTGATTGATCACCTCTTCTGATATATCAACAGTGTTGCCGCATTTGGGGTAATTTTCCCAAAATGTACTCCTGTAAAATTTTATATGAAAAGTTTTTTTTTCACCGTTGGTTTTGTATACATAGAAGAGAAAAATTAAATAGGACAAAATTTTGGTACTTGCTGATGATTGATAGACTAAATAAATACTTATCTACTTATCAAATTATATTTTCTTTTACCCTTACCTTTAGATAATCCTTTTGTAAAACTTTATAAATTAAATAATTTTGCTTAGAGCCTGTGGCGATATCAAGGCCGAATATTTTAAGCATTCATATGACCGTCCTGTGGCAAGGAATCTCAAGGTCACAGATAACCTCTCGTGTGGTGATATGGCGGTTCTCATAATGGTGTCCTGCTTTTGTATCAATGGAGTCACCTTTGATAACAACGTAAGATAAGTTTTTTCGTCCATTCGTAAATAATTATGGTAATCTTTCGGATAATATGTCAATTCTTTCAGTAAGTTGACATGGCTGTATTTTCTCCTCTTCAGTAACCACTTTTTACACCACTCTGTACGGCTTCGTTGTTTATCTCTCTTTTTCTTCAAAATTACAATTAATAATCCTATTAACGCTATTGCGTCGATGTCAACCACCGCTACCGGTGCCATGATGGAAACTGAGAGCTTGTGCAGGTATGTTGTTACGTGTGTGTGCCCTATGAAACTCGGTCGAGCCTGTCGGTTTTGCTTGCACAGGCAAAACTGACAAGCATAACTTAGCAAGGCCTTAATATACAACAAAATGCGTCAGTGGTTTGATTTTTAATTTTTTGCACTTTATAACTCTTTTTTTAATTTATCTACTTTAAGTTATAATTATAGTTTAGTTTATTCATTTATAATGTAATTAATAAAAAATATAACTGACAATACGGAAAGAAACCGTAAATATTACATTTTCCTAAGAAATTATCGTCCCCGCTATGAAATCTGTCAAATATTTTACCTCACTGTAAAGTGGCGCCGCCCTGGTGGCAGAAAAAGTTGTGGATGCCCTCATTGACATATCGACGGGGAAGTGCTAACAACTCCTAACTTACATTTTTTTCGAAAACGACTTTTGAATGCAGTTCGATAGAGAATGAATTGCCCGTCTACTGATATATGAATTAAGTTGAAATTCGCAAAATTGACGTTGCTACGAGTAGGCATCGAAGAAACATCTCCTATATTAAGTTCCATCAAAACTTGATTAATTTTAGCAGGAAATATATTCTAACTTACTAATGGAAACATCTCGTAACTTCATTTTGAAATAAAACTGAGCTAATATCTCCTGATCGCGTACCTTACATTGGTTGAATGGTAGGAGAAGGACCGAAATTTATTCCACAAAATATAAAAGTATAGGATAGCTGATGTTGATTTGACTTCAAAAACGGAGGGGGTTCTATATTCGGCTGTATGTATATTTGTTTTATTTTTATGTATGTTCACCGATTTCTCCGGACCGATTTTGAATACTTACCTATTCTTCTCTTGTTCACAGTTGGTCTCATACAAATTTTATGGATTTCATTTCAACCATTACATATATTATGTTGTAATTGAGTTTTATTGAAATCGGTTGTACCAAATTTTTAATGTTACCACTTGTCCAGTGATAATTAGTCCGTTAGAAGAAGTTGTTCGTATCACTGTTACTGTGGAATTCCGATGATTCCAAGGAAAATGCTAAAATTTGCGAGATACAAAGATTTGATTAGTAAAATTTCTATACGTGATATAGCCATGCTGCAGCTATATTAGTAGTATAGTTGTAGCACGAGTGGATCGGCTCGACTGAGGAACGACTACGCTCTCACAGAAATTTAAACAATGATCCGAATTATTTAGGTAAACTAGCTTTTCACCCACGACTTCGCCCGCGTTAGTTAGCCATAAAATATAATTTAAACTATTATGCTTCTATTTATTTTTCAGTGACTCTGAGATAGACATATAATTACATAATACAATAATAATAAGTCATGTCTATATATATAATACATAACCGTCTTCGACTGTCGAGCTAATTATTGAACCAGAGTTAGTCAAGATTGAGTCAGATAAGTTGTATGGGCGAAGAATTGTAGAAATGAATCATTTAGCAAACAAAAAAAAATATTTCGATTGCAATTTCATTAACATTTTGCAAAGAATCAAGATTAGGAAACATAATTTAAAGTTTGGGAGTGTGGACTGTTTATTGATTCCGAAGATTATTATTTAGGGACAACTCCCGATGGGCGTTATTGGACGTGATTCTCTAAATGAAAATGTCTTATTTCCATCTCTTATTCTCTTCTTATTGTCATAACTAAAAACAGATCAAATTTTGTTTGATACGAGAAGTACAAAAAGAAAAAAGAAACCATGATTACTATTATCAGGTCCAGGGATAATTACATGTCACTGGTAGGCAATTTTGTTTTTTCGTAGTACTTAAGTACGAAAACTTTTTCGTACTTAATTTAATAAACCATGTGGTTCGGCGTAGGAAAAAAATAAATACTATGATCACTTTTGGGCAGCAAAAATGCAGCCAAGACTTTACTCATTTCATTTTTAATGTTTATTACCAGAAATGATTGACCTTCGAGTTCCTAGAGAAATGTCACTTCGAGAAAGAGTGTAATTAAGTAATATGTAATAATAAACAATGATAATTTCTTCAAGTTGTTACTTTTTATTTATTTGCCCACCTACTTTATTGTAAACTCGAAATATTTTTAATTTAATGTCCTTATTCAATCAAGGCTAAATTAATATCAGAATAATCAATAAACACTGAATAATCACAGACATTAACTTTTTCATGGGAGGTATTATGTTTCTAGGTTATCGATATTATTTTCTCCTCCCTAGGCGATAATAATATCGATAACACCTCTGAAAGTTACAGCCAATATACACGTCCCACTGCAGGGCAGAGGCCTCCTCTCATTTCTGACAGGGTTTTAGGGCAAGGAAAGGTCCGCCGCGCTGCCCCAATGCGTGTTGGCGAACTTCACATGTCTTCGAAATATATTTTTTTTTCTTATTTGTCAGACATGCAGGTTTCTTTGCGATGTTTTCAGCACTTAAAATTGCAATTAACAATTTCATTGGTACCGGCGGGGATCGAACCCGGGTTTCTCGCGTACCTACTGTGAAACTTATAGCGAGCGCTAACCATCTGAGCTACCACGGCTCCAACACCCCTAACATCACTACAATATGCCCCTGCCCCCCGACCCGTATCGTGCGATAGAGAGAGTTGCAAGTCTTGAAGGCAATTGCCTACATTTTCTTTCTGAAATATTGTTTCCGGCGATAACGTTTTTACCCCCCTAAAAAACCCCAGCACGGTCGCAAAAACAATTTTTGCGACCGTGCTGGCTCCTATTTGAACGGAAAAAGCCAGAGATTGAAATGACATTCAAGGTGATTACTGTAAACGAGATGGTTTAACTACCATTATCGAAAACCATAAGATTTTTCTGGAATTTTCCCATAAACGCCTCTTACGACAACATTGAACGAAAGGCATTCCATCTGCAAATAAATAAAAAGTTAATTAATCACATAAACAAAATGTATTTTTACTGCAATTATTTATACTATTTTTTGTACCGATTTCAAAAAGGAGACGGTACTCAATTCAACTGTATGTTTTTTTATGTGTGTTACCTCATAATTTTTTCCTGGGTGGACCGATTTCAACGATTCTTTTTTTATTTGAAAGCTGGTGCTCCACATGTGGTACCATATAAATTGATCAAGGTCTGGCCAATAGTTTTTGAGTTATTCTTAATAATTTATATTGAAGTCGGTTGTACAAAATTTTAAATTTTAAATTATTTTCAGTGGAGAATATTAAGAAAAGATAGAAAAATGTTAAGGATAATTACAGAAAAGAATTAAGGAAGATTCCACCTACACGTTTTGGTGCACCTGGCAATAATTACCAATCACAGTTATAATCATCATTACACCCCTTAACAAGTCCACTGCTGAACATAGGCCTCCCCCAAGGATACCACAAAGCACGGTCCAGAGCCACCTGCATCCATCGACTTCCTGCATGTATTACAAAGTCGTCACTCCATCTAGTGGGGGGACACCCTATACAATTCGCCTACCGGTACGAGACTGCCACTCGAGAACTTTTTTCCCCATCGGTTGTCGGTTCTTCGAGTTATATGGCCGGTCATTTGCCACTTCAGCATCCCAATTCTTTGGGCTATGTCGGTTACTCTGGTTCTACTGCAGATATCTTCGTTTTTAAGTCTATCACGCAGAGAAGCACCGAGCATTGCCCTTTCCATAGCTCGCGGAGGAGTGAAGGACCACGCCTCAGATCCATAAGTCATCACTGGCAACACGCACTGTTTGAACAATCTAGTTTTGAGGTTCTGAGGTATGTCTAAAGAGAAGATATGTCGTAATCTCCCGAACGCTGCCCAGCCGAGTTGAATCTGTCGATTGACCTCTCGGTCGAAGTTGGACTTACCTAGTAGGACTATTTGTCCCAGTTAAACATATTCGTCAAACAACTTCGAGCTTAGTGCTCCCAACAATTACCGGCATAGGTGTGATATAGACGTTAAACATGATTTTTGTTTTGTACATGTTCATGTTAAGACCTATCCGCTGGGAGACACTATTGAGGTCATTGAGCATAGTGCTTAGGTCCTTCAGCGATTCTGCCATAAGGACTATAACATCGGCAAATCGAAGGTGAGTAATGTACTCGCTATTGATGTTAATACCGTATCCTTTCCAGTCCAGTAGCT